AATGGATGAAAAGTATTAAAGCAGTATTTGTAATAGGGAGCAATGTAGGGAAGAAAATCCTTAAATTCTCACAGATAAGCTGGGCGGTGGTGGCACACACCTTTAATCCCAGCACCTGGGATGCAGAGGCAGGTGGATGTTTTGAGGACAGCTTGATTTACAGAGTGAGTTCCAGTAAAGCCAGAGCTACACAGATAAACCTTGTCTCACAAACATCCACAAATAATTGAGTCACTAAATAATTAAGATGTATTAATGCAAAAAATATCATTCAGATATTAAAAATCAAGACATTTGTGTAGTGGGATGAGGAAATGGCAAGGTTGTTCACACATTCGTAAGTGTATATATTTGTTTATGTGTGTCTAGAATGTGTATGTACACATACTGTGTCTTTGGAATAAAACACAAGGCATTGCACAATAATATTGCCTCTTGTGGGAAAGAATTGAGTATTGCTGAGAGAAAGGAAATGGGAGATTTTTATGTGCAACACATTATTTGGGTAGCTTTCAGCCATTAGGATGGATTGTAATTGGTATGCTTAGAGAAAATGAAGATTTTCTAAAGGGTCCCTCACTTTGGTGATCTGGACCATTGAAACAAGGGACCCCAGAGAACTACACTAGACTTCCTCAGCAATCTCAAGCTGGGAGAAGGAAAAGGCTGGCTGAATGAAGCCTGGTGCCAGCCAGAGAGGGAGGAAAGGGGTTTTACACAATGCACACAATGTGTCAGATCACCTTACAAGAGAGAGTGGAACCTGGACAATGGTACTTTAATGATAGTTGGAACCATACTTTGATAAGGAATGCTGAACTGTGCACATCATTTGCCTTCTATTTAAACTTTACCATCATGTCCTGTAGGTCACTTTGTCACTCTTCCCAAAGTGCTCATTTCTGTTCCTGCTTTTCATTATTAATTTGGGTCTTTTAATTGGTTTATTTATGATAGGTAGGCAAGCCTAGATTTTTAGGGCTGCCAAAACAGAGGCTATGGCCCTGATGCAGGCAACAAAAATCACCTTTGAATTTAAAATGCATTGACAGGAACTGCTCGATCAGTTATTGCCAAGACTGGTTCATAACAGGTTATGTGCAATGCCTGATCATGTTTTGTAGTTAGTTCATTCCATATACATTTTCTTCCTTAGGACTCAAATAAACATAAGAGCAACATCCTGATTGACAACTTGGCCCTCTGTAACCCTGTTTGTTCTTATTATTTATCATCAAGCTTAAGCCAATAGACAAACATTCTTATATAAGCTGAAGCAAGACATTGCTTGTACATCAGGCAGAACTTTTGAGTTCTCAAACGTCATTTTTAAAATCCACAAGCCATCAACTGGGAGTTTTCCCAATTTATAAAACCAGCTATATCTGGAACTGTCCTTGACCCTCCCTTATTCCATAGCAATGATATTTTTCTTCATTTTCTACAAGTCATAGATATTAAGAATTTGTCACTTAAAGGAAATTTCTATCAGAGAGTAACTTTATGGGCAGGACAGAGTGGACAAAAGGAAAAACAGCTAACTTCATGTCTCCTGCCTCAAATCACTTCACAAATGCAAACCTTAGCAAATGTGTGCATGAGATATATCCATACATGTTGCTGAAATTGAAGCGCATCATGGTAAGTTTTTCAATGGCCAGAGATATAAACTGAAAACTACTAAGTCCAGTATAGGAGAACTCAAGTTGAGAGCAAGGCCGATGTGTTAGTACGGGTCTTTAGTGGCAGTTTGGGGCTTCTGGGGAAAGAACACTCTCAGAATAACTGAACCAAATGAACCTTTATTATGCCTTCTTTCCACTTTGAGAATAGATAAGTTGAAATATTTTGTCATCTCCAATTTTCTCTTCCTGTTACCATCTAGTAATAGTAGAGAAAGCAGACATGTGCCAAAGTAACATAGCATTAGAGAACACATTAAATAACATGTCAACATTAAACAATATGTAATTAATGGCACTGGTCTTTTGCTTCTAGCAGGGAAGTTATTTTTATTAAAGATTACAAGAAAGATAAACCCTCAAATACATTATCCCTGTTGCAACTGTATGTCTTAAATCCTACCTCAGATTCCAGGGAATGGAGTACAGGGACCTCATAGCACACAGTCGCCAGGAACAACAGGTCGCAGGGAGGGCTCTAGAATGAGGGAGAAGAAACAGTGTCCTAGAGCACCACACACGAAGGTACTCATGAGAAGCAGCAGCAAATCCAGGCCTCTTTCAGGAACTGGAAGGCAGTCTGCAGCAAGCTCACATGACAGAGGACACAGAGCTCAGGCCAGCCAGGGTACAAGCTCTGTAGACCGGGGGTGGCAAGGACAGCATGGGAAAGTCCAGCAGCAGACAGGAACATTTTGTGATCCAGAGCTATTTAGATCCTGTGTTTTCTGCGACCAGCAGGATGGGAGCCCCGGGTCTTGTTTCACAACTCCCTTCCTATGTCCCCCGAGTCAGGAGCCCCCCCACACCTTAGGCTGGCCTCCCACTTTAGGCTGCACACCAGGACAAGCCAAGGGATGAGGGGGCAGAGAAGAAAGCTCTGCTTTTACACTCAATGTTTTCAGGAGGGCACTACCAGCAATCGAACAGGAGGGGGCGACCTGGTCCAGGACCTTGTATGTAGTGGAGCAGCTTTGGTGCCAGCTGGCTTTCCTGGGCACAGCTGCCCAGGAGGTGTGCTAGAAGCCTCTTAGGCCCTCCCCGAGTTAGGAGGCAGCAGCAGTGTTCAAGCATCAAGTGCCTGAGAGATGCTGGACCATGGCAACATCCAGAACTAGGAGTTCTGTGTTGTGCAGAGGAGTAGGGAGGCACATGCTAATTTGGGCCAGAAGCTTCAGTAAGGACAGGAGCCTCTCTCTGTGCTGAGGTTAAAAAGGGCTAGTAGTAGGCAGACTGGACCAGGACAAGAGGATGCAAGTGTGTGCACAAAGCCCACCTTCGATGCAATCACCCAGCCAAAACATGGACCACTAGGCAAAAAGAGGCTGTGGGTGATGGTAGGGTGGGGTTGCAAGAGGGTCCCCTGCCGAGGAGGACTGCCCCAGCAGCTGTTGGGAAACAAGGCAGGGTCCCTCAGGCAGCCAAGACAGCCCGAGGCACAAAGTGTGATGGTTTGTGGTATGGCAATAATCACTGGCCACTGTCCTCATCCAGTTTCCTGGGACCTTGGAGATGGTCAGTATCCATTCCTGGTTGGACAACTTCCAAGAGTTGGTCCAGGGGCCTGGCAGACACCCCAGCTTACTGGCCACCATGGAATGCTGCCGGGAACAGGGTATAGATAGACAGGAGACTTGGAACTCCAAAGCTGTATGGAGGCAGATGAGGGAATGACAGTTATGGAGAGATGCACAGAGAAGAGCAGGCCAAAGGCAGGGCACTAGGCACACAGAGCACAGGTGCACAGGGCACAGTGACCCAGAACAGCACCCCAGGAACATCAGCCACATCATGACACCTGTCCTGCACCAGCAACAGCACGGCCTCACAAGGGAAGCATGTGTGTGTATCTTCTGCTTTGCCATGGCTTTGGGAAGGTTCTGCTGCCTCATAGATGGCAACCATGCAGAGAAGGTAGCCTTGCTGAAGCAGGAGCTAAGGGGAGTTGGGACAATTCAAGGAAGGGGCAGGATGTTTGTGTGTGTCTGTGTGTTTGTGTGTGTGTGTGTGAGAGAGAGAGAGAGAGAGAGAGAGAGAGAAGGAGGGAAAGAGAGGGAGGGAGGAGAGGAGAGAAAGAGAGAGGGAGAGGGAGATGGGGAGAGAGGGAGGGAGGGAGAGGGAGTGGGAGAGAGAGAGAGAGAGAGAGAGAGAGAGAGAGAGAGAGAGAGAGAGAGAGAGAGAGAATGATTTTGGCAGGCCTGGACGCATGGCTCAGTGCACAGGGGCTCCTCTTCCTTGCAGAGGTATGTGGATCTCAAGCACAACATGGCTCTCTGCAGGCCAGTCATGAACAGCACTGACAGCATCTTCCTCACTATCCTTGTGGGGAGTTCCTGGATGCTCCACCTCTAGGAAGGGCTAGATAAGGAGGGAGGTTCCCCAAAAGTGGGACAGCTGCCAACCCTCTCACTTTGCCAGGATGCAGGGCTTGTGTCCCTTCCTGAGGAAGGAAGGGGGTATGCCGGCAAGTGGTTTTGACAGCATCTCAAGGGGGCACATAGATGTGAACCTAGTAGGGGCCAGTCAAGTGGAAATCCCTCCTGGGAGAATCCTCCACCAGATGGGCACAGGTGGGAGACCCAGACTCTGAGAGGTGCACAGACAAATGCCATGGGCTGGGGCCTTCAGCCCAAGCAGGCCGATCAAGAAGCCCAATGTTGCTTTAGGGTGTCCAGTACTCAGGGTCCCCAGGTGCCTGCTTGCTGTCTCTTCTCCTTGTCTACACAATCACACACACACCCACACACACACATGCGCGCGCGCAGGCACGCACACTTAATCTACCCCCGCCCTCACCCCTCCCCCTCAGCCCCTCTCTTGAAGCTTATCTATCCTGAGTACAGCAGTCCCTTTCTGCCCCTGCCTCCTGTGAGTCTGGTGAGTGCACCTGTCAGGGAGCAGGGGCCCAGACAGCTGGACTCTGTGTGGCATTTTGTCTCCATTTGTTCAGACCTCGAACAAACTCAAAGGCGAAGCTCTGCCCCCTTTTCATTGCCTGCCAATCAAATCAAAGCACACAAGTTTATTGATGACACACACAGGTGGGGGCTTGGGTGGAAGAGGGTCAGTCAGTACAGTGGACAGCAGGGGAGTGCATTTTCCTGAATTTGACTAACATGTTAGCTGTCCATGAGAGAGTGTAGAATTGGAAAGAGAAACACTTGAACCTAAAGAGAGGCAGCACATGCAAGTTGGGCACAACTCCCATATGGGTGTAATTTCTGCTAAGTGGTCCTGCTGAGACAGGGACATCACCACTGGCAACACAGCATTGGTGATGCTGTGGCTTGATGTTCCTTATCTGCATCTAGCAGCCAATGGTGAGTGATCCCTTTACCCTTTGCTGCAAGGGAACCATTTAGAATGCACTTGACCTGCAGACTACAAACCCAGAAGTTGCCCAGAGCTCTGGGGTGCCCTGCCTGGCCAAGAAGACTGTGGCCCCCCATTTAGCGGCTGGAACTTTTGGCCAAGGAGGAGCTGCTGCCTGGCTAAAGCTGCATCCTTGCTTGCACCCACTGCAGCCTCTTTGTCCTCAGTAGACTGCCTGGGCTCTGGGTGGATTCAGTCTCCTTCTGCTCGAGACCGCCACTTATGAGAGAGGGCTTCCATAAGCATCTCTCTGCTCCCACTCCTGATATACAGGAACATGAATGAGAATAGCGTTTGGGCAGCCAGCGCTTTGCCTACCAGCACCGGCTTTTCAGACAATCCCAGCAGCGGTTCCAGTCCCTGAACTTTTGCACATCCACTTCCCTCAGATATCAAAGAAAGCTGCAGGTCTGCAACCGACTTGGCAAGCATGTTATTAATAACTGTCATGCTCATTAGCAGACTTAATCCGGCCTGCTGCAGAAATGACTTGCAGCAATGAAACGCTGCCTCTCGACACACTTCATCGATGTACATCTTAATTGGGCCCTGATTTCCAATACTGGTGTTTGGGTTTTCAGGGACACACAAAACCTTCTCCCTCACAGTGGGCTGGGGTGTGGGGATCCTGTTTCCAACCACTGAAAGGCTGGCCAACAGCCTACTGACATTGTGGCTGAGGGAAAAGCCAGCATTTGTGGGCTCGGTGAACATTTTTTTCCCTTCAATGGAAGCATACTGGGTCAGGCCAAGAGCACAATTGAAGGTTTTAAAGCTCTGAGCACCCCATGTATTTTTATGTTCATAAGGGAAAGGTCTCTGTTTTATTGGGTGTGCTCTGTTTGCCTTTCCACCACCTGAATGTCTGTCTTCAGTCCCACCTGGGGCTCCAGGTTCATCCCAATCCTGGTCCCCACTCCAGGGCCGAGCCATTGATGTGAAATCAAACCAAAAGTCTGCCTCCTCTTCCTCCAGATCCTGCTCATCATCCCATTCATTTTCCTCCTCTTCCTCTAGTTCGTTACTTGACTCTCTTCCCATGGTCAGTTTGTACATACAGTAGCAGGCACCAGCCCCAATCATCAGGCCTGCTGCCATCCAACCCATTTCCCGGACCCGACCCATACTTTTATGGCAGTAAGCGCTTTGGCCAGACAGGAGAGGGCTTTTCTTCACCTGATTGAAGAGAACTCTCTGCGATTGTGTGAATAATGGTGTAGGCCAGTATTTTTCACCCTCTCCTAGGCTTCTATGATTCTTATGATGACTCTGAAGGTGAAAGAAATAGCATTAGGACTCTGAACTGTTACTGGGTTCGTATCTTCCCTGACAGATAGGAGTTCGAATTCTTGTTGAGAAAGTTGGTTTGTTAAGTCATGATTTCATTGTTCTTCTCTGTATTCCCATACCTACCCTCAGGATCTACTTTTATGCTTCCAGGATTCTCAGGGATAGATGGGAGACGTGGCTGTGATATGATAGGTAGGCAGGTGACAGGGACAGCTAATCCTCATGCAGTCTCCTTTAATCCTACCTACTTTGTCTCCTCCTCTTCCCCACCCAAAAATCATAGTATGTTTTCTAACCAACCTCTCAAATATCAAGTGAATTCTTTTTCTTCTTGTGTCTTCTCCTGTATTCCCTCCAGGGTGGTAGATGGACGGAGCCTGGCAAAAGGACAATTGAAAAGCGATGTAGCCAGCAAAGGAGAACTGAAAGTGTAGTTGGATAGATCTAATTACACCGATAGGTGCTTTTCTGAATTTGGGATTTTTGAGTAAAAATAATTTATCACACTGTCCCGACTTTGCTAACGAGGCCCTCCCCGCCCCCTCCCCGTCCGCCATTTCCCCAGCAAAGGCCGCCACACCCCTTTCCCTGCACCGAAATGGGAGGGGGTGTGGAGAGAGAAGGGGCCAGGAGAGGGCGACTGGGACCTGCTCCGCAATGATCCCAGCCCCCCTCTTCTTCCACCCCCTCCTTAGGTTAGGGATGAATCCCACCTTCAAACCTGCAGCAAGGTTCCAGTCAAAGCGGTTTTCTCCCTCTCTAGCCAAGGCTTGAGCTGAGACCTAAAGACCTGCAAACGGACAGGGGACCGCGGAGGGGGGTGGGGGTGGAATTCTTGGTGGACTGACCAGCAAGCACCCAGGACACGGTGACCGGATTGTGGATCCTTTCTTTGCTTGGATTTTGTGCAAACGCTGTTCACCTCTCTCGCCCCAACCTGAAGCCCGCCACTTCTCCCTATTAAAAGAACCGAGAGGGTAGGATGCGGGTCGGGTATAGGTATTTTAAAAGTAGTGAGAAAGGGACATAGCCCCTATCTGCGGAACTTAACACGCGATGCTCTTTGGCATCTCCCACCCCCATCATCTTCCAAGCAGCTTCCACCGACCTGTAAGGTCCCAGCGAGTTTCCTTCTCCTTCACGCGCCTGCAGAGTAATAGGGGGTTGGTACCCAGTTGAAGGCGACTAACAGGACTTCGGCTCTAGGCGGCTCTCGGTCACGTGACAGCCACGTCACCAGTGAGCTCTAGCCCCCAATTTCCACTCCCACAAGCAGTGCGGCAGGCGCCAGTAGGCTCCGTGCCTCCCCCAATACTTGAGGCCCTGTTAGTCTTTTTCGCTATGACAATACCAGCAAACAGAAGTTACCATTTGTCGTGCTTGAGTTTGACTTTCTCGAATTACTGCGCATTCACACTTTCTTCTCGGAAGAACTGTCTGATCCTTTCGTTGGTTTTCAAACTCCTTCATGCCTTTCTTTAATTTCTATCCCTCCCTATTTTCAGTCTCTGTATCGCAGTTGGGGAGAGGGGGCAGAAAAGGAATCCCAGATGTGAGTGGAAATTGTATTAACACTTTTGATCCATTTAAGCTTTATTTCATTTCTCCTGTATTTTGTAATCATAAGACAAAATGAAGCTATTTCCACTTGAATAGATGAACAAATCCCAATCTTTTAAATTGTATGCAAAAAAGAAATGAAAATTTTCCAGTTAATAGCGAGATCTCATTGATTTGCCAAAGTTAATTAGTACAACATCGAAAATATTTTCTTCTAAATATCAGGTTTAAAATAGCATCTTACAGTTTTAAAACATATCCTTACAAACAAACCCAGCATGCCTTCAATGGGATCAATGGAATGTAAATGGATTCGTGGTGAGGTCAATGTTGAAGTTTTTACCATTTCAGATGTGTGAGCCATTTATTTGCCTCCCCCCCCCCTTTTTTTTATCTTGAGTGAACTCACAGGAGTCAGTTGACTGAGATCTTGTACAAGCTTCAACAATGACTCCCAGTCTCACCCAACAGATATATATTATGCAGACACCAAGTTAGATTTCAGATAAACTTTACAAATTATTAACATCACAGACTACCTGCTTTTCATTCAAAGGTATTTAAATTCTGTACTGTAGTTTTATGATGCAAAAACCATGAACAGCCCTAAAATTAGGGAACTCTCTGCTATCCCATTGATGGCAGTTATACTTGACAGGCGGAGATTTCATATCACCATAAGACTAGTGAGACCTCCTCAGGTTTGCCATTCATGCACTGTATTACCATATCAACGATGAGTCTTCAGCATGAAGACTTCATTTTCAGTGACAATGAGGATGAGGTTCTGTGGATGACTGTAGATTGTTAAAACACTGCTGACATCAATTTCTTTTCCCTCTCATAGGTAGAAGACCAAAATACAATATCCCAAGTTGTCCAGGAGAAAGAAGCCATTTCATTCCCTGCCTTCCCTTAATAACTTTACTGCACTACCCTCACAAACCCCTCAGAACTCAGGGACAAAATATGTAAGAGTGAGTCTCCAGGCGCCACCTGTTCACTGCTGGGAGTCATACTCTAAATATAGACCCCCAGCCTGCTTCTTTCATAGCATATTGAAATTTGACTCGCCTGCCAGAGGCCTTCTCTGTGAAGGGCCCTGTGTGGAGCAGGCCCTTGTGGAAGGTGAGCCAGGGAATCCATGATGCCTTGTTGACAAATATAAGAACTTGGGAACAAACATATCATCGCTCTTTGGTCTTCCTAACAACTAGACTCACCAGTATCAGGCCCCATTTTCTTCTGCTTCATTTGTTTTGTTACTGTGCTCTTCTTCCTATGCTGTCTTCCTATGATTTTCTTAGCTAAGCGAATCCTGTCTCTGAGAATTTAGGAACAAAATGCTCAGATTAAACTGTACTTTTAGTGTTTGGCTACCGTGAACTTACACATGAGAAACTTAAACATGAGGAAGAACTAAGAAATATGCAGAGCTTAGTAAAGGCAGGTGATGGGTTCTGCAACGTGAACTCATTTTCACATTTTGTCAAGTTTCATGGTCAAAAGCTTCATGCCTACTTCTCTTCATTGCTACAAAAACTCCTCTTTGTTATATCATCCAGTCATTTCAGCACAAAACACAGAAGAAACCACCAACCTTTCAGTTTACCAGGACCTTCTAGTTTGAATCCACTCCCTGTCTAAAACTTCTTAAATCCCAGGAGCATGAACCTTCTCAATTAGTTTACATCTTTTCACATTAATTCGTAGCTCTTAACAACAAGCACAAGGGCTAGGAGTTAAAACCTCTTTGTTCTCCATTATATGCTTTTTAAAGGACATATTAGACATCTGATACACCATCTTAAAAGTGAAAATGCTTAAGTACCCAGGCAAGTCTGTTTAATGTTTTCAGAGCCTTGAAAACAAGTAACAAAAGCTTGTAAAGTCACTTCCCATGAAAACCTTTTGGTGGCCACACATAACACATGACTTATAAAGTATCTGAAAATAAAAAAGGATTATCAATTGGAAACATTGTGGACTATGGATGGAGACAAAAGAGAAGGTTGGCATTGCAAAACATATAGCCCTTTGGATACTGTGTTACCTGATGTGGTATTGTAGCTTAGTTAAGGCTCTCTCATTGTATGCAGCTTATCTAAGTCTGGTTAACACTAAGGAGCAAGATCAGGGATGTAGGTAGGAGGAACTGATAGATGATTGTTTCACCTAAGTTTACCTGGTATCAGGTTTTTATCTTTTTGCTCAAGATTAAAATTTTATCAGGAGAACTTCTGGTTGGTGTGTTTTGGTCACAGTGCCCATCTTTTTGCTAGGGAAATCCAGAGTATGTTAAATGTGAAATGCTCTCACTCCCTTTCTTTAGTATGAAGTGTAACTTGTTTAAAATGATGAATTACTTTGAAATTTTTCACTTTTTATTTATGTGATGTGTGTGTGCTCCTGTTTGTTTGTATGGCACCACATGCACTGAAGGTAAGGAGTCAGATCTCTGGAACTGAAGTTATAGGCAATTGTGAGCCATCCCCATGATGGGGGTGCTAGGAACTGAACTTGGTTCCTCTGCAAGAGCAATGAGTGTTATTGAACACTTAATCCACATTTCTAGTCCTAGTGTATATCATCCTTTAATTATTTTGCATAGGGAGCCTTTGTTTATCTGTCTCTGAGATGCTAGGAACCTGTCTACTACCCATTGCCTGACATAATTTCTATATTACCTGATCATTGGGAAGATACAATATGGGGCTGGAGAGATGGCTCAGCTGTTAAAGGCTAGGCTCACAACCAAAAATGTAAGAAAGATACAATATGAAATGACAATGCATAATGTTTCCCTTGGAACCAAAGCCACATGCCTTCCCTGACAGGGTTGCATATGTAGTTCAGGGTGTTGTATTGAGTGTTGCACCATCTACCCCAGCTTTTGTCTGTAAACAGAGAGCGGATACTTCTGATAGATTCTCATTCAAAGATACACATGTAAACTGAAATCTGAATGTCACACTCACCAGTCTCTGTCTTCTCCTCCTGTTAAGTAGGCTACAATGAAAGTTATGTTTCAATAGGATTAACACGTGAATAATTTACCTTGAGAAGTACAAGTGTTGCTGGTTGTGGTGGTGCATTTGCTGAAGGAGTCAGAGGCAGGGGTTTCATGAGAAGTACAAGAGTTTTTTGCCTGTCTCACCTGTCCATACTCTCCTGCAGACAAGCTCCAGCTTGGGAATTCAGCTTCAGAAGATTGCTTGATGAACCTAAGAATCAGAGTAAGGGCATTCATTCATCTTAAGAAGTGAGTTTTAGCTTAGGAAGTTTGAAGTATTCTTAGACACCATGGAGATGGTTTTGCCAAGAATGAAATGTCCCCTTTACCTTAGCCAGAACTTCCTCTCTTCTAGACAGTGCTTAATGGGAACTATTAACATTTTCCTCTGAAGCCCATTTTGTGCATGAATAAGTCTCTTTGTTGCACTTGATCTTTCTCTAAATACAAAGCAGTACAGTTGATTTGGCTCAGTTTACTAGATTCAAAATCGCATCTCAATTCTGTTTTCTAGAAGCTACAGTGATATAAATTTTCCTAAACTCTTTGTACTCTAGATTTACTCCCATGTTTCCCGTGGATTTGGAAACTTCTATTCAGATACCAAACTTGTATCTAAACTACTAGGGAATTTCTCAGAAAAGAGCTCATGTTTAGGAAAGTTGCATTACACTATGTGTTGCGTTGTTTTTGTACTGCATATTAAGTTAGCCTTGTTGGGCAGCTAGTAACTGAAACCAAACCTGGTTAACTTAAACAATGAGAGAATGTAACTACTTTATTCCCTTTTCTGTCTTTGAAAGTTAAAATTGCAAGAGAATTCTTGTGCTTATCAAGCTAATCAGTGCAATGGCTTCACACTAATTGCTAGATGCCAAGTTCAGTTAAGTTTGCCTTGCTCTTTGTGTTCCTGTAATAATACTACTTCATCTGCAGATGTTGTTCTGTATTTGCATCCCAGTATATTTCATAATGTTCTTTGAATATTACTCACATATCAGTGTGTGTGCCTTTTATCTAACAGGCTTGATTTCTCCTCAATCTTTTCTGTTCCTGGCTCTGGAGAACCCAAGCCTTCCTCTTGGTTAACTTGTGACCTTCAAAGCCTATTGCTTAGTAAGAAGATTTGCATATTCTCAGGCAGGCTGATTAGTTCACTGAAGTTGTGTTATGTTCATTCAGCTGTGTTATGTGATAGGCCCCAGAAGACATTAAAATTCCTCTGAGTAAAGCGGGTAACACTTTCCAGCAATTGAGAAATGTGGGACTATTAGAGGCCATCACCCAGCATTGATCTCCTGCCTCCACTCTTATTTTTCTCCTGTGGAAATACTTTTTATTTTTGTAGTTTTTCCCCTCAAAAATAGAATGCAGGCTGTGAACAAGGGAAAAGCCAAGGCGAAACTAACCAAAAAAGTATGAAGAAAGTAAAAGATACACTCTCATTCCAGGTTTCCTTTTCTGGTGGCTTATTCATTTCAGGTCTAGGACTACATTTCAGAGGAAATGGTAGATATTCGTAGCAGGGAGAAGTGGAAGTCGAGGGAGAAGCTGCTGTCCCAGGAGTCTAGGGAAGGAAGAGTCAATTAAAAAAAAGTACAAGTGGCTAGTAGCCCCAGGGGAGGATGCTGTCCTGTTTTGGTAACTGGAGGAAGGGAAACACAACTAGATGAAAATGGGATTAGCCGCAAAGAAGAAAGAGTAACAAGGCCTAGTATGGGGGAGGGAATGAAGGGGGGCGGGTCCTCTTCTGCCGCACTGCTGGTGGGAGGGGAAAGTGGGGATCCGAGTTGGTGGATGACGTCGCTCTCACGTGACCAAGAGCTGACGTGTGCAGAAGTCCTTCTTGTCCTGGTCGTTGTTCCCGTCTGAGTACCAGCTCCCTATTACCCTGAGGGCGGGCGGGCCTGCAGCTGAGGCAAGAAGGAGGAGGAAAAGAAATTGTCCCGGATCCCTGTAGGTCAGTGCCTGGGATATTCCATAAACTGGGGGTGGTGGAGGGTGGAGGGCGGAGGCCGTCGCAGGTCCGGGGGCACCGTCGTCGTCTCTCCCACTTGCCTCCCTCTTCCCAAGATATGTGTCCCGCCCGCAGCCCATTTCGATGCTGCAAAGCAGTGAGTAGGGGGTGTTTGGGCAGGCGCTCAGAAATCAGGAGATGGGAATCTGCTGCGAGCTGAGGCCCGCAATCCGGAAAGGGAGCTGTGGCCTGGGTGTTGGCCCCTGGTCCACCAGGACTGTGCCAGCGGGGGAAAAACTGGACATGGGGTCTGGCGTAGTGGGGTGCAGTGTGTCGGCGGAACCCTGAGCCGGGTATCGGGCGGGAAACCTTTAACAACCAGGCCTCCGAATTAGGAAAGAGTTTCGTTCTCTGGGGACTGGTCCGTCCACCAAGCACTCTGTAGCGGCTGTTTCCCGTCTTTCTGCCTGTGGCCGTGTCTTCCTTACCACGGCTCTGTTTCTAGTGGGTCCAAGCCTCTCCCGGGTGGCCAGTCTTTCCGTAGGTTGTGGTACCACGCCAGGCAAGAGAAGAGGAAGGAAATTAACCAGATCGGTGAAGGTCGATTTGAGGGTAAGACCATCCTGGGGACCCTAATAGCTGCAGGGGTAAAAAAAAAAAAAAAAAAATAAGGGGGGGGGGAAACCAGAAAAGGTAATCTAGGTATAGATTTGAGTCTAAATGTGTTTCTCACACTCCCCGAACTGTGGAGAAATGGCGTGCGCTCTCTCTCTCTCTCTCTCTCTCTCTCTGTGTGTGTGTGTGCGCGCTTGCAGGGGTGGGGGCGGGGGGCGGGATGACAGTAGGAAAACCTATCAGATAGTTTGTTCATAATCCTTTTCTCTCAACAGCACTTAGTGTCCATGTTTTCGATCTGTCATCCTGCAGGTCTGCTATAGCAGGTGGCATCGCTTGAAGCAAGGGAGGAACTTTCCCTGGATCAGTAAAGGTCGGTGTGGGCGTGGGGGCAGCCTGGAATGGGGGAGGGGTTAGAAATCATACTGGGTTTGGCGAGGCTCACTTAATCCTACCTTGTTTCCTTACATCCCCTCATTTCAGACTAGGGAGGGTATCATCCTGTGCATGTTTTGGATGGATGGCACAGTGAGGTTTAACAAAAAATCTGACAATCTGAATGGTAAATTAGGAAAGTATAAAATATACAGTCAATGCTACAAGCCCTCATGTTTTTTGTTGTTGTTGTTTTTGTTGATGTTTATTTGGTTTTGTCTTTTGTCTTTTTGGCTTTTTTCCCACTGTTTCTGGTATCTCTGCAGACCAGAAAGATTGTTGGGCGTGGCAATACCTCACAGAAAAGGAAGAAGGGTGCAAACTGCTTGTTTCCAGGAGGTTAGTGTATGGGTGCTTATCCTATGGGGTACCACAGGAGCCTGTGACGGATGAGAGCCCAGAAACATTTGTGGATGCCATTGACTTCATGCTTTGAGGCAACAGTGACTGGAGGTGGGGGTCAAAGCGGGGAGAGGCATGCAGGGAGAGAGTGAGATGAGGGAGCCAGAGGTCTTTGTCAACAATATGTATTCCCTATCCAGAATTCAATTACTACTTTCTTGCCACTCTGTGCCACCTGTCTGCATGGGGCAGCAGAGAGAAGAGAAAGCCAAACCCTCTTTTCTTCTTCCATTTCTAGGTTCGTCTCCAGAACCAGTTACACTGGCCTTGAAGTGACAGAAGAAGGTCATTCTCCACAGGCCTGCACTCAGGCCCGAAGCCCTCTTCCCCTCTTTTGAGTGACTACTCTATTTCTTTGTCCCTGCTGTCGTCAGGGACGATTGCATGGGCTACGCCAGGAAAGTAGGCTGGGTGACTGCAGGCCTGGTGATTGGGGCTGGAGCCTGCTACTGCATTTACAGATTGGCCCGAGGAAGAAAGCAGAACAAGGAGAAAATGGCTGAGGGTGGCTCTGCTGATGTGGATGATGCTGGGGACTCTTCTGGGGCCAGGTATAATGACTGGTCTGATGATGATGATGACAGTAATGAGAGCAAGAGTATAGTTTGGTACCCACCTTGGGCCCGGATTGGCACTGAAGCAGGGACCAGAGCTAGAGCCAGGGCCAGAGCCAGGGCTACGAGGGCTAGGAGAGCTGTGCAGAAAAGGGCTTCTCCTAATTCTGATGATACTGTTTTGTCCCCTCAAGAGTTACAGAAAGTACTTTGTTTGGTTGAGATGTCTGAAAAGCCTTATATTCTTGAAGCAGCTTTAATCGCTCTAGGTAATAATGCTGCTTACGCATTTAACAGAGATATTATTCGTGATTTGGGTGGTCTCCCAATTGTTGCAAAGATTCTCAATACTCGGGATCCCATTGTTAAGGAAAAGGCTTTAATTGTCCTAAATAACCTGAGTGTGAATGCTGAAAATCAGCGCAGGCTTAAGATATACATGAATCAAGTGTGTGATGATACAGTCACTTCTCGATTGAACTCATCTGTGCAGCTGGCTGGCCTCAGATTGCTTACGAATATGACTGTTACTAATGAGTATCAGCACATACTTGCTAATTCGATTTCAGACTTTTTTCGCTTATTTGCAGCAGGAAATGAAGAAACCAAACTTCAGGTTTTGAAACTCCTTTTGAATCTGGCTGAAAATCCAGCCATGACTAGAGAACTGCTCAGAGCTCAGGTGCCATCTGCACTGGGCTCCCTCTTTAATAAGAAGGAGAACAAAGAGGTTATTCTCAAACTTCTGATAGTTCTTGAGAACATCAATGACAATTTCAAATGGGAAGAAAATGAGCCTGCTCAGAATCACTTTAGTGAGGACTCACTTTTTTTCTTTTTAAAAGAATTTGAAGTGTGTGCTGATAAGGTTCTGGGAATAGAAAGTCACCATGATTTTCTAGTGAAAGTAAAAGTTGGAAAATTTGCAGCCAAACTGACTGAGCAGATGTTCCAAAAAAGCCAAGAATAACTTGGTGGCTTTGTAGTAGAGCAGCAACACACCTTGTAAACTATTCCTTTTCTCCTCTTTGTTTATATGGCAAAGGAACTCTTTCAGCTGCCAGTTTTGAATAATGAACATCGTACTGTATCATTAATACTGATATTTAACCGAGTTTGTCTTCAGGTTTAAGTTGGATGAATGACTATCACTACTTGCCCTGAAAATATGTTTGTTGCTTTTTATCTTGCCGCCTAGATTGAAATATTTTTGCTGTTTCCTCCGCATAAGTGACAGTGAACCAGTTCATCTGAAGTAGGCTCCTTTTTGTCATTTGCATCATTTTATTTGTGCATCATCAATAAAGATTTATGTTAATGCTGGAAAGAAACAACAGAAGAAGAAACTATCCTGTCCTTTGGTTTATAATCTAGTTGTAGAGATAAGAAACATACATACATACATACATACATACATACATACATACAAACAAACAAACAAAAAAAAAACCCCAAAACCAAACCACAAGATTATCTGGAACACACAATCTGTCAGATGTGTGCCCTCAGAGCATAGAGGAGGCAAAGGCTTTGGTGGCTGGCTGAAGGAGTCAGTTAAAACTTCAGGGAGGACAGAGCCATTGAAAAGGAGTCCTGAATGTTGTAGGGAAGTTAGTGCATATCATGAGACCAGAGTTGAGGGTAAATGATATAAGAAAGTCATTAATTTATAAAATCTTTTGGTAGTCAAAACAGACTTCTTAGAGTGGAGAGTGTGGAGAGTAGGGCAAATAAATATGGAAAACAGTGTGAAAGCCCATCGCAGAAGGCTTGTTGGATGTATTTTTAACTAGGAAAGAATTGGGGTTAATATAAATGTCCTCCCCACACTGTGTCATCAAGGATGGTGTAGCAAAACGGATAATTTCCAACTTTAGTGGTGGGCATTTGGCAATACATATCATTAAGCCTTAAATATATATAACACTTTTGTCCTAAGGTGATGACTGAGTGACTGGCCAAAGATTGTATGTGCAAGGCTGTTCTTGTCAGCAGTGTCCTAAGGTAGTAAGTACCATTGGGAACAACTTTTGTGTTCAATACACACTGAATTGACTAAGTAGATTAAAGAATGTTCATGCTATGTGGAAAATGTGCTGATGGAACTCATATTGCTAGATAAAGATTTTCATCATACATTATTAAGTGAGCAAGTAAAGTTAAAGAGCAGTATTCAGAGTATAGCTACATATAGGGGGGGTTAAGTAATGTTTAAAAAAACACTAAAAATCTATGGAATTATATACACCCAGTAGTACTAAGAGTAATATTTGGATGAAAGATAATGAGTGATACTTACTTTTTGTACTTATTATTCATCTATGTTTTCTTATTTATCAAAAATTAATATTGATTTTTAAGAGCGGTATGGAAAAAGAAAAGTACAGGGAATGCAGAAGATGATTAATTTGAACGAGTACTGAGTGGAAAATATTTAGGCCCCAAATGAGGTGGTCTGACACTTCCACTTCAGAATGAGAGAAGATGATGATTATAAGGCTGTCTGTGAGATTTGAATAAGAATGTATGCAAAGTAGCTACACTATTCTTGCAAATAGCAGCAGTTAATTAAGAAATGTGCGTACCTTTACCTAGAATGTAGTATTGATGGGTTTTCGTTAACTTTTGTTTTGCTGGGGCATTCTTTTATGTTTCAGTGTCATTTAATAAATAAGAATAATAATAATAAAAGTTAACATTTACTAAGTGATTACTGTGTAGAGTTCTGTCATTCCTGCAAGGAACCTGTGGAAATAGTTTCTCAAGGACTAAAAGTATCACCTCAGTCCTGCCTTCATAACATTTTCCTCATTGATGTGAGGTTGCTTTTATGTTTTCTGTGTAACCAGGAAATGCTGCTATCTTCTGTCTAGTTATGGTTTGGGTTGGACACCAGGTTTTCACATAGGTACTCTAATGTCTGGAGTAGGACCAGGGACTGGTTAGCTTCAAGTTGTTGGATATGGGAACCTTTAATCATTTATGTATAGGAACTCATTTGGTAACACGTTAAAGGATGAGATGATAGGAACTGAAGTGAAAAATTTTCTTGCCCCTGCTAAGTAAGATAAAAAGGATTGTTATGATGGGGCAGGAGCAGATCTATTTGAAATAAATGGAATTTGAAGTGTTTGTGTGACATTCAGATACCGCATCGTTATTTGAATGAATTGCTCCTGCTCTCAGTGCAAATGTCTAGGCTGCAAATAAGAATTGGAGAGAGCTGTCAGAAGTTAGATATAACTGAGGACGGGGGCCTAGCTGCAGTCTGTGGAGACTGCCTAAAGCAGCTAGATAAGAAACTAGCAGCCGGGGAGAAGCACAGAATTTAATCAGCCTGTTTTATATTTTCTTATAAAAAAGTAACTTCAAAATTCTTGAGAAGATAGAGGCCATGAGCAGAAAGTTGTTCCTTAAATCAGTTATGGAATGAACACATACATGGGCACTCATATCAAGCCATGCTGAGCTTGAGACATGGTGTGACTTGTTTATTCCTGGGCTGCAAAGGAGATTAAAAGGAGTAATGGGGAGCCCCAGTGTGGTAGGCACACTCCTGCCTGGCATCATCTGCCTCTGTTCTCTCTGTTACTCCTTGTTCCTTCCCCCCTTCTCTGTCTCCCTTCCTTTCTCCCTCCCTCACACTTCTGTCTCTATTTCCTTCTGGGAGTTAATTAGTGGTAGCAATTATGTATTGTTCAGCTTTTCGGGGTTCCTTTAATTTTGAGGCTACAATGCCATCCATGGGGGCATTTTCCAATAATAATTGCCACTGATGTGGCCATAAAGTACTTTTAATTTTTTTTTTTGTGGAACCCTTCTTGAACAGAACAGACACAGAAGGAAATATTCTTGGCTTCTTGTTGCCCTGCGTGCTCTGCATGTATTTTTATGCCCCCATGCTTGGTACAATTTGAGTAGCACACTCTTTGGACAAGTGCTGGGTGAGACTAGTGTGGGGCATGGCTGAGCCACTTCCTGATGTCCCAGTGTTTCCCTGGAAGGAAGGTTGCAGCTCCCAGCCATTTTAGGAGGAGCAGGATCCTGGCCTGGGTCTGTCTGAGGAGGGAGAAGTTACTGTCTTCTCTTTGGGGGATGATGTGAAGAGACCCAGCAGACAGCCTGTTATTTTGATTTTCTTGTCCAGCAGTTTTAGGTTCTGTGTCAATCTAAATGTGCTCAAAGATAATTAATTTTCTAATAGTGGGGCTCAGTTGTTTAAATCGCCCCCACCCTCCGACAAAGCATAACTTTTCACGGCTCAGGAAACAGGCTTTCTTTCCTTAATTCACATTTCATCCACCCTGTTTTAGAAGAAACTCCAGCATGGGGTAGACAATTGATGCAGTCTCCATACATTTCATTTGCTTGAATCTCTGGTTCTGCTAGGTTCTCTTGAGAGTGGCTTTGACCACCCCAATACCATAAGACTGATTTTCCATGCTGGCTGTTTATATTACGTTTCTACCACATCCCTGGCTGAGGCTTGTCCCTGTTTTGTCGCTGGTTTGTCAGTTTAAGTTGTGGCTCTTCCTTGATTTTAACCCAGAGCAGTCTCAGCCCTATTGTTAGGTCTCCTGTGTGCTCTGGCTGAGGGCGAGGTGGGGGCAGGGAGGTGGGGGCAGGGAGGGGTATTTACTACTCAACTCACAGGATTTCACCCTCTTCACTGGGGCCCTGTGAGGCCTGTGTGGGGAGCTCAGGCAATGTTTGTTCCTGAAGAGGGGTGTGGGAAGATTGGGAGGGAAGGCAAGGGATGGAAGCCCTAGTGGAGGGGTAAGTTAGTCTGTGTAGGCTCAAGCAAAGGTAATTTGATCCCCTGTTGAGAGTGGGCTGACCATTAGCATCCTGGAAGGTGAAAGAGGAGCTCTACAAAAAGCAGCTTTGTTTGAGCTTGCAGCCTCATTTACTGAGCCTTGCTGAGCTTGCAGTAGGTCTGACATGCTACCAAATACAGGGGGACTTCCTTTTAAAATTAAAGTCCAGAATGATAATTTATTACTGTGAGAAATAGAATTAAACATACCAGATTCATTCGTAGACTCTGCTGTTCTGAACATTCTTTCCCTAAGATAACAAGATCTAGATCAGAATTCAAATTATCACGGAAATGTATTGTTTATTCAGTACTCAGGGAACTTAGCAACTTAGAAAAATGCCAGTGCTGTCTAGGTAAGACAGCCTGGCATCTTATGTTTGTGATGAACATTACCTGGTTGCTAGAATCCAGTAACTCTAACCAAAAGCTAAAGTACAATTCTCCTCAAACACAATCATAACTTTTCTTTGTCCATATGCTTCTATAGTAGAGAGAAAACATGTTAGTTTTATGACAAAATAATTGAAAAACATTGGCTGTTACAAATTGGGATACACATGTTCTTTTAGCAATGCATCATAGCTAGGTAGAATTATTTGTTGCTTCCCTTCCTTGGAAGCTAGCACAAGGCACCTTCTGATACCAAGAAAGCTAGTCCACAGGGAAAAGGCTTTCAGATCAATGTCAGCTCAGGGGCCTCTGGGCTCTAAAGATGAAATGCAGTGTCTTCAGCAACAGGGATATTGCTTCTACCTCTGGGAGGCCACCGAGTGCAATAGCCATAGCCTGTAATGTTGGGGGAGGTTCTTGGACAGTGCTACCAAACAACTCAAAAGGACTTTTCAAGTCTCATATGAGTTTTTTGGTTAGGTGGTCTTTGGCTCATGCATTAACAGGTATTATAGACTTTTTTAGGTAGTTAATAGTATGGTTCCTTACGATATTTTCAGGCATTCTGATTATTTTTGCCTACTTCCCTCCTTCCTCTGTATCTATTTTTCTCTCCCTCCCCATTAATGTACACTGTTTTTGTTTTTCTACTCTCCCCATTTAGATCTTGTGTACCTTGCTAGTCCCCTTTTTATTGCTCCTCCTCTGTCTCTCCTCAGTGGTCCCTTTTAACTTTGCTGGTTTCTGCAGTTATTCCAGGTTATATATTCACATCTGAATATTTGGGTGGAGCTAAGAGCCTCAGAGGAGAGAACATGAAATGTTAGTCTTTCTGGGTCTGGGTTACTTCACTCAATATTATCTCGTCTAGTTCTATTCAAATATTATTTTTATAGCTAAATAGAAATCCATATTGTATATTATCACATTTTCATTAGCCATTTGTCAACTAAAGGACATTTAGGTTGCTTGTGCTTATTAGCTATTGTATAGAGCAACAATGAACATGGCTGAGTAAGTATCTGTGGAGTCGAATATTCAGTACTTTGGACATATTATAGTGGTGTGATTGGCTTATATGGTAGTTTATATTTATATTTATCTTTTGAACATTCTCTACACTGATTTCCAGAGTTACTGCACCAGTTTGCAATGCCACCAGCAGGAAATGAAGGTTCTCCTCCAGCATTTGTTGTAGG